GTAAATGAAATCCAAGAGTTAGCAAGTCTTCTCATGTGCAGGGACATGGGAAAAACTGGTAAGCAAGGACTCTCACACACACCTCTTAAGCCCTCAGTGTTGAGTACTCACGTGGGGTGCACCTGAGCATCCAATGGGGGCTCGGGTGTTGTCTCATCTATGGTGGAGGCAGGTGTTGGCCTGCGTATGTAGCAAAGGGCTCAGACAGGGCCATGACAGGATGGGTGATGGCACACAGCTGCCTACTCTCAGCACTCAGGTCTGACACCAGGAGTTAGTGAATGTCTATGGCTTTGGCACTCACTTCTAAATGGCAATGGGTCCATGGCAATGTTAGTGTCCTGAGCGGTTTCTGGGACCTCAAAGACTATGTTATCAACTTGCGAAAAATAACCAACTTCCTTCCTAACTTCCTTCCTTCCTTCCTTCCTTCCTTCCTTCCTTCCTTCCTTCCTTCCTTCCTTCCTCCCTCCCTCCCTCCCTCCCTCCCTCCCTCCTTCCCTCCTTCCTTCCTTCTTTCTTTCTTTCTTTCTTTCTATTTTAAATCTGAGACAGGGTCTCACTATTTTCTTAGGGCCTTGCTGAGTTGCTGAGACTGGCTGAATCCTCCTGCCTGAGCCTCCCAAGTCACGAGGACTACAGGCATGCACCACCAACATCAACCTGAACCTCCCTTTGAAAATGAATCATTGCAACAAACCCTCTGAAGATTCCTACTTCTCAGGAAGCCATAATGCTGTGCCTTCCAGATTCCAAAGGATTTGCCATCAGCAGTGGGGAGCATGGTCAGCAGAGGGCCTCCTGCTACCAGAGTTCTCAAGGCCTGCTCTGCTGCCAATTGCACTGTCCAAGGGTTGTCCCTTTCCTGAACAGCCCAGATCCAAGTGGCTACAAAGGTAGGAGTACTTAGTCTCCATTTTGCCCAGGCAACGCTTGGCAGGGCATATTTACTCCAGAGGACTGAGGCTTCAGAAGGTCCACCTGGACTTCTCTTCAAACACCTCGCATCCCAAATTCTACCTCAGCATTGCCACCAGGAGACCTGACCCTCAGTACACTTCCCACCCAGGGTTGCCTGTCTTGCTAGAATCCTCTAAGCCAACTCAATGACACTTCCTGGTACAGAGAGGACACCTGCAGACCTCGCAAACAGGAGGCAAGACCAGAAACCAATTCTACAAATTCAGAACTAATGTTGAGGCAAAAGAGATAGTTGAGAACTCTCATTTGACCCTGAAATTTCAGTCCATAAGTATAAGGTACCCTTCAAGCATGCTACCCTATGAAACGGGAGATGTGTATGAGGCAGACCACAGCCCTGTCTACTCTGCCTGGAGGAGACTGAGCTAAGTGACCCTTGAATCAATCTTCACATCTCTCACAACGTAGCACTCTAGCAACCAAATCCAACACACATCCACCTTACCCTAGAGGCAGCAAATGACATGAAGTCAATTTGCCATTTTAAAACCTTATTGTTCATTATTATTATTATAACTTTCGATTTGTTCTGAATACTTGGGTCCACCCAAATATTAATAGGTTGAGATCCTAGACACCAGGTAGATGGCACTAGGAGGTGGAGGCCTTTGGGGAAGAATTTAGGACAAGAAACTCCAGTGAGCTGGCTCACTCCTTCACCTGGGTGAGATACAGGGAGGGGTACTGCCTATGAACAAGCCAGTGAACCTGACTTCACCTGGTCTAGCACTTGCCACCTCCAGAACCATGAGGAGGAATTTTCTCATTTGTAAGGGATCTTCTTTATTGTATTTCGCCTGGATTCACAAATACATCTTCCTTTCCCTTAAATGGCACACTAAATTAAAATGTTTGAAATTATTTTCAGGTTCAATAATTTAAATTGGTTAAACCTTTCACCCTTCTGAAGACACAAATACCTTTTTAGATCTGTTCCTTTTAAGGTCTGACAAAGGAAGAGCATCAGCTGTTACTAGGCAACACTGCTTAAGATAAGGATGCACTTGCCTGGACTATATATTTACCAACATAAACTCTTTCTGGGAGCCTATGCTGGAGGCTCCCAAGAACATGGTGACCTTTAAACTGGATTGTCCCTTATGGAGTGTAGGCTTCCAAGAGAAGGTGGATCCGCCTGCACACTGATGGTAGACTCACTCTTTTGCACCCAAGATACCTCCTTGGGGGCCAACAAATACTGGTTTGGGGCCAGCTGTATGGAGGTGATAAAGATCACACCCACTATGTAGGAGAGCTCAGGGATGGCCTGATGTCCTTGTTTATCCCAGCCCATGCATACAGGTCCCCTGGTTGTCAGGTACATCTCAAGTTTTAGTGGAGTCTCAGAAGAGGACACCTGGCAGGTCAGAGTTATTTAGTGAATGTCCAGGTTCACGGAAAGTGCTTTACGTGTAGAAAATGTGAATTAATGAAATTATTTTGGAGGAGAGGTTGGATTTCCTTCTCTGTAGGACCCTCATTTATTAGAAGGAAGGAGAATGGATGAGAGAAGGGAAGAAGGGTAAATCTGGAAGATATCTTAGTTTGATATAGAGAAATGCTAAAGGACACATGCATTTAAACTGTAATGATCTGGAGTTATAAGTAGCATTTTTGATGGCACAAAATTTTAGTTACTTCACATTTCCATTGTTAAGAAGTCACTGAAATCATGAAATGCTATGTAGGTCAAGATTGGAGTTAGACAGTGACAGAGTACCTTACAGAGAGAAGTGCAGGGCATCAAGAGCATGCAGAGATCTCAGAATATGTACATGGGTTGAGAAGGTTCACCATGTGACACACATTCACTTTCATACTTTTCTTTACCTTGTCATAATAGACTTGTCGTGAAGTTTATCATAACCAGTATTACCATTGTCCATACTTTAACAAAAATAAATGACACCAAAAAGACAATGTTATCACTAAAATGAAGTGTCTACATCATGGATCACAAAGACAATGTATGGGTCATGAAAGGTATGTGACAATTTGTTAAATCTGCAGATTCTAAAGTTGGAAATAACTTCTTCGTGGGTTAGGAATTTTAATATGTAAAATATTCATTCCTTCAAAGAATATTTCCAGAGCACCTTCTATGTTCCAGTCCTATTTTTAAGAACTTTCACAATTAATTATAACCTAGATGTATCTATTATTTCTATGTCATTTAAAGATGTTATTAATTTAACATTAAAGTCCATCATAAAATAATAAAATCCTCCTCTCATCCCATAAATAAATATAATTTCTTTAAAAAAAATGCTTACGTTTCCGGAGGTATAGTTTGAAGACTATAAAATACAAAAAGGAGAGACAAAATTACTGATATTCTTGTGACTATTACAGCTCTACAGTTACACCCCCCACATTTGTACTCCAATATAACGTTAATAGGACCCATTAAAGGGAGACAGGATGACGAGATGAGTGACATGGACAGGAACCACAGGGGATCACCAGACAGAGAGCCCAGGGCGGCCTGCGTGTGTGTGTGTGTGTGTGTGTGTGTGTGTGTGTGTGTGTGTGTGTGAGAGAGAGAGAGAGAGAGAGAGAGAGAACCAAGATGACAGGGGAGGGGAGGGTGAAGGCATTGAGACTGACTTGGCCCCTCAGAAGCTGCATGGTTCCCCTTCAGGAGACTTTTCCTGGG